CTTGGCTTTTTTTGTTGTCGTTATTTTTAAAGGACCGACAGGGCTTCGTGGTCAAAGAAATGTGAATCGCTTTTAACTGAAGTCTGTATCTGCAAACATCACAGAGGCTAGCTGCACATCCAGGACAGACATCTCATCCTCTAGGAAGGCTTCCCTGATCTTCCAAGTCTGGCCAGATGCTGCTCCTGGGCTTCCTACAGTAGCAATCTTTATTTTCCATTCTAAACCTCAATAGAACATTGTTTTTTAATATCAGTTCAGCATGTTCCCCTTTGCAAAAGCAGACAGAAAGCCAATCCAGGAGTAAATCTTCATTCAACAGAAGACCACCCCCCTCCACTCTGGAGTACTCCTAGCTACAGACTCAACCTGTGACACTTGGATAAGCTCAGCACAGCCTAGCCTCTCTCTGGTTCAGTTTTCACAACTCAGCTTAGCTCTGTGTGTGTGTGGCTGGCAGGCCGGGGCGGGGAACCAAACACAGCTACCTACAATTAAAAGTCAGGGACCCTTGCCTTGAGTTTCCACAAAGGCCCATTAGCAGAAAAATTCATCAAGAGTACTGATTTGAAAAAATGGCCTTGAAGTACAAAGTGAAAATTAGGGTTAAAGTGCAGAGTCTAGACTCTAAGCCCTGACTTAAAAAGACTCTCGGTTGTCAGAATTCCCTGTAGCCTTCCTAGTCAGAATCGCCTCAAAAAAAAGGAAGCAGAGAGAGAAGAGGGAAAGCAGGAAGAAGGAGGGGGGAAAGGTGAAGAGAAGGAGAAAGAAGCAGGAGAGCAGAGACACCAGCGCTGCCGTTCAGGCTGCACGAGGTCGGTCCAGGCCTGGAAGCGACCCTGCAGGGGCTCCCGTCACCCTGCTTCCTGGAGAAGAAGCCGGCGAAGCTCAGAGTCGGCACGGAGGCGGGCGGGGGCCCGGACAGGCCACGCCCTCTGCCCCCACGCCCCGCCTCCAGGGGCCCGGACAGGCCACGCCCTCTGCCCCCACGCTCCGCCTCCAGGGGCCCGGACAGGCCACGCCCTCTGCCCCCACGCTCCGCCTCCAGGGACCCGGACAGGCCACGCCCTCTGCCCCCACCCTCCGCCTCCAGGGGCCCGGACAGGCCACGCCCTCTGCCCCCACCCTCCGCCTCCAGGGGCCCGGACAGGCCACGCCCTCTGCCCCCACCCTCCGCCTCCAGGGGCCCGGACAGGCCACGCCCTCTGCCCCCACCCTCCGCCTCCAGGGGCCCGGACAGGCCACGCCCTCTGCCCCCACCCTCCGCCTCCAGGGGCCCGGACAGGCCACGCCCTCTGCCCCCACCCTCCGCCTCCAGGGGCCCGGACAGGCCACGCCCTCTGCCCCCACCCTCCGCCTCCAGGGGCCCGGACAGGCCACGCNCCCCCCGCCCCCCAACAGGCAGATGCAGAAACGGGCACATCTCATGCAGACTTTCCTTTAATCCTGTATCAGCCACTTGCTGGCTTTGGGACCCCCGGCAGGCAGTTTATATCTCGGTGATCTTATCTTTAAAAGAAGGACAACATTTACGTCCACGAGGAATTGGGAGACTTACATGTGCTTTCTGAGAGAGAACGTGGCAGGGACTCAAGCAGGGACTCAAAATACACGCCAGTCTCCACCACTCACACCCACGTCCCCACGAGACCGGGATGAGGCCCGGTCTTCACAAGCCTACCTCTACAGAGAAGAGTAGCACAGTCCGCCACTATGCGTTTGGTCAGTTATAGGAGAGGAGACGCAGCGGAGAACTCTCCCTGACATCCATCGCCAGCGGAGCAAACCTGCTCAAGAGGACGCTTATTCCTGGCCTGGCCCTCAGTTTTCCTCCCCTCTGCCCCCCACCCCCAGCCCCCGACTCCTTCCCGGTGCCCATTACCATCTGCTGTCTACACATGTCACAATCCCGGATAATGTTAGCTCAGCAGTGCTCAAACGCCACCACCTCAGCCTGCAGCCATACAGGAAGGCCCTCATCTCTGAAAGGAACCTTGGGCCAGGCTCCACAGCAGTCATTTGGTTGAGCTTGGATTAAAATGACAGCAAATATGTGGCTCATAGAGTCACGAACTGCAGACTGCCAGGTTAAAACAGGCAACAGCTCTCTATGTTTTACTAGGTGACTCGAGGAAGGCTTTAAGAGTCAAAGGGAGCGTACCCCAAGGAGCCTTTTCTTGGGATGGGCCTTGGGCCTTTTCTCAGCCCTCCTCTGGGCTGAGGCTGGCTCCAGTGCCCTGCCAGTCATACCCATTTGCTCACTCCATTCTTTAAAGCCAGCCGTGGTGGACTCCCAAATCCAAGATTTGGTGGAAGGAGGCCCCAAGAGCTCTCTGAAATCCACAGCTGGACCATTAGCAGCAGGATCGATGCCAAAGGACTTCTCCCATCCATCCTAAGTCTGGGACCTGCCCAAAACTGCTCCAGGAATTCTGACAGGCTCCACGGAGTCCTTCCCAGGGAGTCACCGAGAGGCCCCACCAGGGAGGCTTCTGTCCTTTCAAAGGGACCCCCAGGAGGTCAGGGATGCAGTGGAGGTCCAGGTCTCACCTGGCTCAGGGCCCCCAAGCAGAGGGAGAGACACCCAGTGCTTAGGATACAGCGTCCTGTGCATAATCCATAAGCCTGAAAAACACTTCAGGAGGTGAAAGACGCCAGTCACGAAGGCCCACACACATTGCATGCTTCCGTCTATGTGAAACGTCAGCAGAAAGTCGGTGAGCAGTTGCCAAGGGTTTCGGGGGGTGGGGTATGGTGTGGTTGGGGAGAAATGAGCAGTTATACTGCTGATAGGTACAGAATTTTTTTTTTTTTTTTTTGGAGTGATACAATGTTCTAAAATTGATTGTGGGGACAGTGGTACAGCTCTGAATATATAAAAAACCACTGAATTGCACACATGTGTGGTATATGAGTTATAACTCGATAAAGTTGCTTTTATAAAACCTGCTGCCCTGAAGTCTGTCTTACAGTAACCACACCCTGGGGACCAGGTTCAAAGGAAATCCCTGCAAGTTGCTCTTTTGAAGCAACCCAAAGTGCAAGTGTTATCCATGCATTCGCTCACTCACGCCACATTTCCCGCTGCTAGCTGCGGGCAGAGCCGGCCACCTTGTTAGAAACACAGCATCAGCTCCCCTCCCTGGATCCAGTTTCGCCTGTGTGCTGGGTGCTGGGGCCTCCTTACCACAGCCACAGCCAGGAAGGGCCCTTAACCCTCTGTAGCTGAGGAGCTCCGGAGGAGCCTTCAGGGGGAGAGTTTCAGCAGAACTTTCCCAATTCTGCTCCTCACGGGGCCACCACACATCCGCATATTTGTAGGGTTTTGCCCTCCCCCACCCCCTTCTGCTGCTGCAGGCAGCTGACACTCCAAAATTTCCAGAAGGGAATCCAAAACTCGCAGAGAGAAAGAGGCTCTGAGTGCGGCTCCACACGGCGTTCCGGGGTCAGCGGAGGGTTGGGGTCCAGGTCCCCGAGAGCGGGGACGCCAGACCCCCGTGAACACCTGCCCCGGGACAGTCTCAGCAGAGGGGGCGACTCCGGGTCCCTGAGCTCCGCGCCACGGAGCGCGCTTCCCGGACAGGACGCAAGCCCCCAGCTCCTAGACAAGGGCGCCCGTGGCTGCAATGACGGCGGGCAGCGCTCAGACCCTTGTTGGGACCGAGGTCAGCCCAGGGCACAAGCCGCTCCTCCGGAGGGGCGCTAACCCTGTCTTGTCTGTGCTGTGTGCTTAGTCTCTCAGTCATGTGCGACCCCGTGGACTGTAGCCCGCCAGCTCCTCTGACCATGGCATTCTCCAGGCTGGAATACTGGAGTTAGTAGCCGTTCCCTCCGCCAGGGCATCTTCCCGACCCAGGGATCGAACCCAGGTCTCCCGCTTTGCGGGCAGATTCTTTACCAGCTGAGCCACCAGGGGAGCTCAAGAATACTGGAGCGGGGAGCCTATCCTTTCTCCAGGGCATCTTCCCCACCCAGGAATGGAACCAGGGTCTACCGCATTGCAGGCGGGTTCCTTAGCTGCCCGCGCGCGGGGCCGGCTAAATCCCAGCTGGCGCAGAGGTTCGCCTCCCCCCAGCCGCGCGCTCTAGAGGGCCTGAGGCAGCGAGCAGTTACGAGGGGTGAAAGGGCGAGGGGGCGAGAAAGCCCGGGAGGAGAAGGCCCTCCAGCGCCGCAGCCTGGCGGTCCATCTTAAAGCCGCGACCTCCTGGGTCCAGACACCGAAGCAAAACGCGCGAAGCAGCCGCGTTTCCGGGCGCAGAGACGTGGACGAGCCGCTGCTGCTGCCAACACCCCGCGGCGCTGCGCTGCGGGCTTGCTCCTCTTTTCGACTAGCACCTGGTGCTCAACGCTAATCACCCGCGGGTGTCGGGGTGAGTTTTGCACCCCGTAATCTCCATTGACGGTTCTCCCAACTGACCCCCGAGTGCTTAGTCGTCAGGCGTGTCCGACTCTTTGCGACCTCATGGACTGTAGCCCGCCAGGCTCCTCCGTCCATGGGATTCTCCAGGCAGGAATACTGGAGTGGGTAGCCATTTCCTTCTCCAGGGGATCTTCCCGACCCAGGTATCGAGCCCATGTCTCCTGCCTTGCAGGCAGACTCTCTACCCGCGGAGCCATCAGCGCGCTTTCTGTTTGTAATACACACAGTCCTCCAAAGCAATCCCTAACCCCTTTCTCACCCTAACGGTAGCCTGTAGGAGGCCCTTTCTGCTCGGAAAGGCTGGCGTCTACCGTCTGGAAACCAAACCCGCTCCTTCCCGCCGTTTGCTCGCCGCCCGCCTGCCCCGGGGCGAAGGCTCCGGGGAACAGCCCGGGCGTGTGCGCCGCGCGCCGCTCCGACCTCGCTGCCGTCCGGCCCCTCAGCGCCGCGGGCAGCGCGGGCGCGCGAAGAGCAGGTCCCCGGAGCCGGCCCGCGTCCGCAGGGGGCTCGCCGCCTGCGCTTTCCCTCCTTCAGGAACAGACTCGAGGCCGACTAGAGAGAAGCAGAGGTTGACACTGACCTGCGCCCGCACGATTCCAGCCCAGACCGCGTGGCTCTCGGTGCCCGCGGACCGTCCCAGTTCCGCCGCGAGTCCGTTCTCCTGCGCGCTGCCCGCCCGGCGCCCCTTTAATTGGCCTGCCCCGCCTCCACCCCTGCTCCCCCGCCCGGAGCCGCCTCCTCTCCGGCGCTCCCTCCTGCGGGGCGCCCGGGATCAGATAAGAGCGGAGGGAGGCGCGCGGGCGGCCGCTTATGAAGCTGGAGGCGGGGCGGGGGGAGGCAGGCCTCGGGGCCCCGGGCATCGTCCCCCGTCCCCAACGACTCCCCCCTCCTCCCGCCGCCCCGGACACGCCCGGGGGCCGCCCGGCGCCGCGGCCGCGAGCGCGGGGCCAGGAAGGAGCCGCTCGGGCCGTCCCCGCGCACCGAGGCCGGCGGGCGGCCTCGCCAGGCCAGTGTCCATGTGCAGGTGCCGCGTGCCGGCCTCCGCAGCCCCAAGAAGCCCGGTCCAGGCGCCCGGGGGACCCTCCGCTGGGACGGCTTGGTGTCCCGGTGCTAAGACTCTTCTGCCAGGGGCGCGGGTTCCAGCCCTGGCCCGGGAACTGAGATCGCCCGCGCTCTGCGGCACGGCCCAGAAAAACAGAACAGGGGACCCCGTGTCCCTCTCCCAGAACTGGGGCAGCGACGCACGGACGTGAGCAGGCGCACCGCCCGGGAGCGCTCCCAGGCGCTTTGGTGCGTTTGAAGGGGCTGGCGTCGGAGGGGCCCGGGGCGCAGGCCCCCTGACCGAGATCCCGAGTCAGGAAGCCTGCGATGAAGCCCGGGCCGAGCCCCCAAACCCCGCGGCGGTCTGGTCCGGGCCGCCCCGAGGCCCTGTCCGCCCGTGAAGTACTCGAGGCGCCGGGTCTCCGCACCCCCACCCCCCCCAACCCCCGGGAAAGGCATCAGCTTCACCCATTTTTTAACCGAACCAAGAGCCTCCCGCCCCTCCCGCGGCTGGTGCGCGCACATGTCGGGAGGGGGTTACACACCGGGAATCTGTCAAGACGCCCCTTCGGGGAGAAAAGTACGCGGTCGCCTCGGAAAACTGGAAAAGCAGGTGATGGCGAAGACAGCAAGGGGCGGTGCTCTGAAAGGCCCGGAGCGCGCCCCCGAGACACTGAACGTGGGCTGCGACCGCGCACCTCGCTTCCAGGAGGGCCTGCGGCTTTCCCAGCCTTCCCCCGCCCCCCGAGTCTGCCGTATTCGCCCCCTCCTCGGCGCCCACCCCTGCCCCCCGCCGGCCCTGCGGTTGGAGCGCAAAGCCGGGCCCAGCCCTCACGGCCGCCCCGCGTCTGTCGGTCCTTCCGCAAACCCGGCGGGGCCGGGCCGAGGCGCCGCTTGGCTCCTTCGCTAAACCCGGTTCGCAGCGCACGTGTTTATGGAGACCGCGTCTGGTCTGAACCCGGGGTTCCGTCGGCTCCGCGGCGGGGCTGCGGGCGCCACCTGCTGCCTGCGCTGGGGGTCGCGACAGAGCGGGGCTGGAAGGACAGATGGAAGGACAGACGGACGGGCCGGAACTGCTGCAACCCCGCACTTAACTCCACCTGAATCCCCGAGCCGTGCCTGCAGCTTCCATACCGCCCCCCCCACCCCCCCACTAATAACGTCCGCTCTGGGTCGTTCATGCTCACCAAGAAACAGCTCGTTGGTGTGAGTTTCCCTTTACCTGTAATTCCCTTGGGGGAGGTAGCGGGGTGTTGGCAAGTAATAATCACAGGAAATGAGGAATTCTCTGATAATTTTAAAATGCAAAATATATATGTGCAAAAAGTCATGCAGAGGAGCAGAATCGTTGTTTCATAAAAGTCTTATATGATAAGGTACTTGTTTTGTAATGATGTATCAGGTTATTTTAAAAAAATTCTAACTCGTCCTTCTTTCATCTTTTAACCTTTTCACTTGCATTTATTTCACTTTCAATGTAACTAGATAAGCTGCAGTTACTCTTGAATCAGAATGGCTGGTTTTAATCAGTTTTCCACTTAATTGCAGCCGTGTGTCAATTTCCAGCCCTTTCAAGGGAGCGCTTACTCAACATTTATCTTAAGGTCTTTTGTCAGAACCTGGAAGAATATCGAGAACTCAGTTAGAGAAACAAACCCAGAAGACCCCACTAATGGTCTCCTCTCTCAATCTAAAGAAGAAGAAAAAAATGACTCTGAAAGAATACGTGAATAGCTGAGGCCTTTTCGAAGATATCAAAAAATTCCAGCTTTCAGTCATTGATTCTAAACTCTTCTTAGAATCTCATCCTGGGCTTGTATCCTGACTGTGATTCTCTCTCAAAACTCCATACACACCCTGTTACCCCTTTCTCCCCTGCAGGAAGACCCTGAACTCAGTCCTAAATTGAAGAGACTCTGCCCCTTGCTTATCTCACTTTGGTGCAGTTATTTTGCCTCTCTGAGCCTAACTCCTTGTGTATAAGAAGGGAGTCATTAATTATATCTCAGGCGGTAGTCATGCAGATTAAATGACAGACACGTTTATGGACCCAGTTCCCTAAATGACAAGTGGCGACTGTATCACTCAAACTCGCCCAGTTTCCCTCCTGTCCAAGGCACACGCGGCTCCTCTCATTAGCAGCCCCTATGGCTGATTCCCGCAGTGTTTCTCAATAGAGGCGCTCTGACATTTTGGGTAGGTCAGTGTGACTGCCCCAGACACTGCAGAACATTTATTACTCCTGACTCCAGCACCAGATTCCAGAAGCGTCCTCCTATCACCTACTCATGGTGAAAAGCAAAACGACCACCACGCATTTCCTCCAGTACTCACAAACCATTAACTCTTGGCCGTTCTACTCCAACCCCTCTGTGATGGTCACCTATTATTCTTTTTTTTTTTTCCCCAGCCCATCCATTCCCCCTTATTTTGGTTACAGAAGGATCATCCTCAGTCAGCTGGCAAGTACAAGCTGATTATATCGATAACACGCTATAAACAACAACCATGGTCCAAGCTCCTGGCCTCACGCCCTCCACCCCACACCCCCCTTCCATCCTGATATCCCACCTCTGGGACTCCTAGTATCTGCCCTGGTCTTGCAACAGCACAGCAGAGAGCCTTTAGCACCCTTCCTCCTGGCCAAGGGCTGATGGACCTTCTCGATGACAGATGGGCCTGTGGCGCGCTGTGCTGTGCTTAGTCGCTCAGTCTCTTTGCGACCCCATGGACTGAGGCACACCAGGCCTCCCTGTCCATCACCTGCTCCCAGAGTCCACCCAAACCCATGGCCATCGAGTCGGTGATGCCATCCAGCCATCTCACCCTCTGTTGTCCCATTCTCCTGCCCTCAATCTTTCTCAGCATCAGGGTCTTTTCAAATGAGTCAGCTCTTCGCATCAGGTGGCCAAAGTATTGGAGTTTCAGCTTCAGCATCAGTCCTTCCAATGAACACCCATTCATCCAGCCCAGCATTTCTCATGATGTACTCTGCATATAAGTTAAATAAGCAGGGTGACAATATACAGCCTTGCCGTGCTCCTTTTCCTATTTGGAACCAGTCTGTTGTTCCATGTCCAGTTCTAACTGTTGCTTTCTGACCTGCATATAGGTTCTCAAGAGGCAGGTCAGGTGGTCTGGAATTCCCACCTCTTTCAGAATTTTCCAGTTTGTTGTGATCCACACAGTCAAAGGCTTTGGCATAGTCAATAAAGCAGAAATAGATGTTTTTCTGGAATAGCTCCTTACATCTAGACATCAGCAGAAACCCATCAGGACAGCTGCACTGGCTGTTAAAATGCTGAAATACTTTCCTGTCTGTTACCTCCCCACAACTGTGTGACTTCCTAGGTGGCTTGGCAGTAAAGAAGGAGACGTTAGAGACCCGGGTTCAATCCTGGGTCAGGAAGATCCCCTGGAGAAGGAAATGGCAACCCACTCCAGTATTTTTGCCTGGGAAATCCCATGGATGGAGGAGCCAGGTGGGCTGCAGTGCATGGGGTCAGACCCGACTGGGTGACCGAGCACACACAAGCCTGTGTATTCTCTCTGCCACCCCCTCCAGGGTCACTGCCCCAAAGCTCCCTTCGATCCAGCAGCTGAAGAGGCGCCCCTTGCGCTACAGTCTGAACGTCTCTGTGTCTCCCCAAAAGCCACATGTTGAAATCCTCCCAGTGGTGATCATTTTCGGAGGTGGGGCCTTGGGGGTTGCTTCCCTCACAAAGGTTTATCATGAATCGTGAATGGGATTGAGGGTCTTACCTAGAGAGATCCCTAGCCTTTCTCACCGGGATCTCAGGTGAGCCTTCCCTCTTCCATGCTGGAAACCGGAGATCTGAAACTGTGATAAATGTGTCTGTCCTTTGTGAGTTACTCAGACTCTGGAATTTCATCACAGTAGCCCAGACGGGTTGAGACACCTGTCGGGCACCGAGCACCGCTAGGTTCTTGGGTGGCTGTGAGCATCCCTTCCTGCTGGGCTCTGCCTGGGTCTCTTGTCCCATCATCTGAAGATCAGCCCTGCCCAGAACTCCACAATATCTTTGGCTCCTGTCCTTCCTGAAGCTTCTGTCTCAGTTCTGTGAGCTACCCTAGTTGTGCCAAATCTGGTTTCTTTAACTGCTAACAGAAGAACTCCAAGTCAGTCTTCAGTTTACCAAACTCGAACCTGAGATAAAAGACGGGAGATCCTGTCTAACTCACCCAAAGGGCTACTAGCAAAGTCGGCCCTGGAATGCAGACGTCTTCACTCCCAGGTCAGAGCTTCTCCCACTAGAGCGCGCTGACCCCTTTCCAAAGGATGCCAGAGACGCAGCCTGTGCTTTCACTTTACAAAAGGTATTCAAGTACAGCGAAAGCAAAAGCGAAGTCGCTCAGTCGTGTCCGGCTCTTTGTGACCCCATGGACTGTAGCCTCTGAGGTTCTTCCAACCGTGGGATTCTCCAGGCGAGAGGACTGGAGTGGGATGCCGTTTCCTTCTCCAGGGGCTCTTCCCGACCCAGAGATCGAACCCAGGTCTCCCGCATCGCAAGCAGGCGATTTTACCGTCTGAACCACCAGGAAAGCTCAACAACGTCATCCCGTTTTAAATACATCAGCTCTGCAAGGTAAGG